GTCAAATTCCAGGCGTTCGCAGATTTTCTGAAGTCAAAATATTGTGCAGTGAAATGTTGTTAAAATGCATCTGCATTACGAACCATAACCCGGAATTCTATGTCAGCTGTGAGTTCAGAAGCGTCAGAGGATTGAGAATGAGAACTGAAGGAGTAAAAGAGAGGTAAAACGGAGTGAACCTGAAAGTGTTTATTTCATTTTTAATTTCCCTGTATAATATAACGAATTTCAGAGTGATGAATAGCACCTGTCACGTAAACCCTTTTCCATCCAGCGAGCGAAATATTAACCCAATGTGTTGCAATAACCCACCCAGCCCATGAATACCGAAAGTTTGTTGAAAGCTGCATCTTGTAAGATTCGGTTGATGCTATAACAGTCAAAGCAATCAATAGAATATGACTCATCCTCCTCCAAGAATTTTATGCAGATAGTTTCGAGAATGATCTTTCCCTTACTCAAGTTAGAAGGAGCAAGTATCACACAAAAACAAGACACATTTAGTTGATATAAAAAAAGTAAAGGTATCCCTGTAACAGGCCGTGGAGGCCCATAGGGTTGTGAGATGTTGAGGTTCCCACATTTTCTAGACAATCGGCTCATAGATGTCGGTGAGATTGTCAGCCTTACGTGCCGGCCGCCTTTTACCTCCCAAGGGAGATACCTGGTAGTCATTTCTTTTAGATGGTGAGTCGAACCCAGGGCCATAGTGCGGTTGGAATGGTTAGGTCAATTGATAAAACCCAATTACCTCATCGGGGATCGAACCCGCGACCTTCCGGCTTGTAGCATAGTGCCTCAGCCAACTACGCTCCCGCGTGCCCCTTAGCTGACATGTGCTTAAAGAAATGATTACTAGATCATCTGTGACTGAATTGCGGTTCTAACAAAGAAAACACAAGACATCACGCAACTTTTCTTTTACTTAGCTACTGCGGTACTCCCGAACGATTATAACTCTTGTAAACACCGGATTTATTGTTTATGCGCTAGGCCCGCATCATATAGGATAAGGTCTTCTAGCAGATACCAGAGAGTCAGGACGGAAGAGAACATCGAAACACAAGAGGTTTTGTACTATCTACGTAAAAGGAACAAATGCAAAGGAAGCCAGGGATTGGACAAAATAATGGGCCCAGTACAGGTACTGTATACATTTCTTTATTAATACGGTGTTGGGCCACATTTGTCTTCAGTACAGCTGTAATCCTTCTTGCTGAATTTCGTGCATTGTTCTTGAAGAACGTCTTCAAATTGCTTTATCGATGTTGGAAGTGGGAATCTGTTCCTCACTGTAGTCTCTAAAACAGACCAAAGTGTTTCAATGCTGATTGTGCTGGTCATGTAAGATGTTGAAGTTCACTTTCATGCTCTTCAAACCGTGGCTGAATAGTTCCAGCTGTGTGAATGGGGGCGTTATCAACTTGGGAAACTGCGTCTTTGTCCGGAAATTACGTCTGGACCTTGGGATGCACCTGATTACCCAACCTGTCTACATACTCCCTTGTAGATACCATGAAACTGCTGCCCAAACCATCAGAGAACCTCCCCTGTGTTCCACTGTTGGAGCCAGGGTGTTTCCATTACTTTGTTCACTACCTGTATTTTATCTGAGTGTGGGTTGTGACTTCTGGTAGATAAACCCAAGCGGGGTACGTAATATGTGACAGGCAAGTGGTAAGTTATCTGACTACAAAATATAAGTGATTTTCTCGGATTTCTAACGGTAACTACTTAAGTGCCTCCACAAGTTCACCTCCGATCTGAATACCTAGAAGTTCAAGTAGAGAAGAATAGAATTTTATTTATTTTTTTACTTGAATGCGCCCCCCGACGTGTCGACAAGAGAGAACATAGACCTAGATGTTTCCTCTGAATGAATATAATAACTTCCTTTGAAAATATAACAAAATAAAGCGCATGTGATAAATTACGATTCTTCCTTTAATTTTATTTGCAATTCAAACACAATTTTTTAGGATTTTAACTGGTTCCTTTCCAGAAAACGGCTAATCCAATATTTCTAACTCTTTGAATTGTAGCATAAGGACGAGAAGGGGGAAGGGGGAGACAGAGAGAGAAGATAATTTGTGGGAGTTAGTAAAGGATACTACTTTCAGGAAGGAGGGGAGAAAATGTTCCTGTTTTGAGGGTTCTCAGGTAGTACCACTAATTCTTCTGGCAGAACTTTCAAGAGACTGTAAAATTTTTCTTCTGAAAAGAGGGAAGGAGTTACTTCACACGATCGGAATTTTTATATTAACGCTGGAAGCGATAGCACACGCTGTGGTTCATTTCATTTAGCGCATACCAATTGACTACGAGTATGACGTTTTAAACCATGAAGCGTGCAGTCTCATATGCGACGAATGAACAATATTAATGCAGTGTAGTAGTTTTAGCACAGTACGACACCTGAGGGTGGCCATTTAGTGCCGAAACATATTGTGTCGAAGGTGATTTTTTTCCTACGGCGCTACAGCCCACATTTGGGCCTAGGCCTACATCCATGAAACTCTCCGTTCCACTTCGCTTTACTAGATCTTACACATACGGTAGGACTCCTTGGGCGAGTAATCAGCTCGTCGCAAGGCCTCTACCTGTAGACAAACACAGAAAAACGCACACAAACATCCATGCCCTGAGTGGGATTCGAACCCACAATCCCGGCTTCCGAGCGAGCGAAGACAGTGCATGCCTTAGACCGCTGGGCTACCGTGACTGGCCGTCGAAGGTGATACTATAAGAAATAAGGAACAGTTTGTTGCATTGTTGACGGACTGTGTAGTACAATAAACATTATTGGATATAGTGACGCAACAGGATGATTAAATGCAGGATTGGCAGGTCTACGTTAGAGCGAAATTCTCATTTAACACTTGGTTACATCAGGGGGCAATTTCTTTTACGTTAACCTTTGGAGGACTACATGTGAAACATGCAACGCGACGTGCAATTTGGGAATTACACCGCACTTATTCTAGGGTATAGAAAAGCTACGGAAAACCTTGATGGAGCTAGCCGCCCGCAGAGCTTACCGGATGGAAACTGACCTCATATGCAGCATTCCCAGCCTCGCATGCAAATTTACGCAGCTTTAGTCCCTATCTCTGCTGTTGAATTGCTTCATTTGGCAACGTTTGCAGTGTTTCTGTCGTGTACATGTTCTGCAGGAGCAACGAAAAATTTTAGATGGTACTTGCAATTATTATACGAGCTTACGTGCTTACACTGCTTATATTCATACTTGTGTTTAGTCATGACATGTCAATATCTTTTGAAGCCTTTCGAATGTTTTATGAGATTTGCTGGTCGTTCAATTAACAAAGGATCGTGTATTACAAATCGCTGTAATTTCCTTCTTGCTGGTCATCTCCAGTCCTTGGATCCTCATTTCGTCCAATGTACGGAACTGGTCGATGAGACTGCCTGTGGACTGGACTCCATGGGATGACTTCAGAATTCCTGTTGCCTGTAACTAGATCGTCTGTCTCGAACAACTGACATTTGGAAACTATGATTATAAAGAAGCAGGCGCTCCTCTGTCCTATTTCAGATAATTCTTTGTTTATATATTGCTTATAATTGATCGAATTATCTTGCAAACAGGAATAGGGAACGCTGATGTTTTTCACTGATGGCATTCTGCTCTGCCTGAATTTGGTAGTTTTCACTTGTTACTGTGGCCTCGCTAACCTCTTGACGCAATTTCCAATTAATGAAATTCCTGTCCATTCGTTTAAGGTTTTAATCGGTGTGACCCTTGATAATCGTCAGGAGTTCTGAAATATTTTTGACATGTGCATACAAATCTGAGTAGCATAGCCCCTTGGGAGAAGCACACGTCAATACGGTTAGGGGGAGCGGCGATTTATAAACTATGAATGCTAGGTTAATGTCAGGCCAATCACAATGGTCGCGAAGTCTAAGGAGTGAACCGTCTTGGTCCACTCGAACGCTGGGGTCGTGGGTTCGAATGGATGTCTCTGTGAGTTTATTCTGTGTTTCTGTTGTTCTTTGTGTATGTACCGGCCTTGCGACGGGCTGATCTCCCNGTGGTCGCGAAGTCTAAGGAGTGAACCGTCTTGGTCCACTCGAACACTGGGGTCGTGGGTTCGAATGGATGGATGTTTATTCTGTGTTTTTGTTGTTCTTTGTGTATGTACCGGCCTTGCGACGGGCTGATCTCCCGTTCTAGGATCCCTACCGAGTGTGTACATGCTTAAGAAACTGAAAAAGCAGCCAAGGTACAAAGGTCTGTAGAGTCAGAGAGAGAGAGAGGTAGGGGAGGTTATGTCAGGGGTGGAGGATTTGTTAAGGGAATAATTGCCTCAGTCTGCAGTTTGCTTTGAGTACGTGTCTCTTCTACGTTAATTATGAATCAAATATGACGCCAAGATAGTCTGTTTCATTGGTCCATGCTCATTACTGGGTCGGTACTGCGGCGATAGCCATGCAGTTACCTGGAAAACAAATTCATTGTGCATTTCTTCATATCAGTCATTATTCTGTTTTCGGGACCACGTTTCTAAATGGCATATACGAGTATCATACACGTAGATTAACTTCTCAGCTGTTAAGTATATGCTTCATAAATTTAAATGGCTACGTTAATGTCATTTTCAGCTGATAAGAGATCATTAACTGAAACGTTGAAGAGTGCGGGGTCAAGTAGCTTCCCTGAGGTCCTCCAGCCTGGTTAATCAATATTTAAAATTCAGTTCCTACCTCACGGGAAACATGCAGTGTCTGTATTAAAAATCATAACTGGTTAATGTTCTTTAGGGGAATATTTTTTGTTCATTGTGAAAATCACATAAAACATAAATACACGGTTGGAGAAAAATTCAGTTCCTTTATGTAAACGTAGATGGTTCACGTAGCAACGACTGCTCTAAGACGGGAGCAGCAAGATGTAGTTTTGTTGACAGTGTTGTGTAGGATGGCCGTGGTCATGCACTCCCCACCCCGTCAAGTCAGCTGTGATCTGCTGATTTCAGATGCACGGGTATGATCTGCACGGGGCGCCGCCCCCCTCACACGACCTCGGCCCCCCGCCCAGCGACATGGCGCACCCGGACTCGACAGATTCTTACGTCACCTACTTGGAGAGCGACGACAGCCTGCACCACGACACGTCCAGCCCATAACGCGGGCTCCGCCGCCGACTCTCGCATCCAAGGTACCTCGTCAGAGCAGCCTGTCTCGAAACTGTGAACTTACTTTATTCAGTATCCTTAGGGACATACATTTGATACTGGTAGGCATAAATCTGTATGATATGGTACTGGAAGAAAGCATGCAGTATCAGTGTACTGATAGAGGGTGTAATTTATTCCGAAGTACTGAAACATCGGAACTCTTTACAGTGCACAGAAATTGGGGACATAATTCAGTCGGTTATTAGAAAGGAAGAAAATCTGTTAACAACCGCTGTAAATGTGTAACAAAAATGAAATTTAGTGTAAAATATTTATTATTGAATTCGGTTAGATAATCTAGAAAGTTGAGTAAAAATCTCTAAATTCGATTAAAGGATTACGATATCCGTATGAATGTCCTATATTGATACACATCTCCATATAGAGAGACATCACTTCATGAACTATTCTCATGTTACCGTTTAATTCTGTTTTCATTTTCTTCCGTATCACTTTTTGTAATATGTTTGAATGCGTAGGCTCAATAACATGCCATAAACAAATAATAGAGGATAAGAACGACATAAAATGTTGAGATTTAAATTATTATTCCGGAAATATGTGAAAAATTAGAAGACAACATGAAAAATAATGCTACTGTAAATTTGGGGAAAGTTTAATTAAAAGAGATAATTCGTCATATCTGCTATTGCAAGATTCTGTATCGACGCAACAGAGTTTAACAAGGAGACACCGCGAGATGAGATGGCATTATTGGGCTGAACAACATGTAGGAGAAAGTAAGATGATTAGCAGGGGCGGGCAGTTAAGGATAACACAGATTTTCCTCTGGGGTATAGTAGAAGGGATGGAAACTGCGTAAACATGCAGCTCAGACAGTCCTGTCATTTAGTGCCGTAGGAAGCCACTTTGTTTCGGGTTTGGTTTTGTGGGGCCTAATGGCTGTAACTCTCGGTCACAGTGGGCGTGCGGTCTAAGGCATGAATTGTCTTCGCTCGTTCGAACGCTGGGATAGTCGGTTCGAATCTCACTCAAGACATGGATGTCTTTGTGTGCGTTTATTCTGTGTTTGTGTTGTTCTGTGTGTAGGTGGAGGCCTTGTAACGGGCCGATCCCCCGCCCAAGGAGTCCCACCGACTGCGTATATGATGAAGAACATGAACAATCGGCCGAAGAAAGGGTTGTAGAGCCATAATAATAATAATAATAATAATAACGGCTGTAATTGTATATTCTGATCTCACTCCAGAAATACTGCAAAATATGACAAACGCGCAGACAAATCTAAATTCATGTACTGGTCCCTATGCTTAACTAATTGAACACTACGTCATGAAGGCGTATGGGGGAGTGGATGTATTACAGCTTTAATAACGTATCTCTTATAAGGAAATGAGTCTCAGAAGAATGAAAGTTCCTAAATAATATATGTGAAATAGCATAATGTTCCCTAAATAAATGTTGACAATTCTTTCCATTTTGACTGTAATTTATGGAAATATTGAAAAAGTAAAATGGTTTTTTGTAATATCCCTCTTTNTTTCTATTATTATTTATTAAAAATAATAATAATAAAAATACAGTTATAAATATAATACATAAATGTGATTATAATACAAAAAAGTGGGTTATTACATAACATTTTTTAATATTTTCATAAATTAAGGTCAAAATGAAAAGATTTGACAACATTTAATATATTAATTTTGTTTAGATCCGGAATAGAGCAGTCGATAGAGCGACTGCCTACGGGCTGGACTGCTGACCACTCTGAGTTCGAGTTCTCCTATCCACGTAGTCTAGACCCGCACTGGGGCTCACCCAGCCTCCTATCCAATAGGTAAAGGGGGCTCTTTTCCCCGGACTAAAGTAGCCGTGGCATGAAACTGAGCATTCACCTCCCACTAGTGCCTAAGTCAAGAATGCGTGGTTCAATACATCCACTCCCCCATACGCCTTCATGGCGTAATGCTTAATTAGTTAAGCCCAAGGACAATTTTAACTTTTTGTCGTCATGTGTAACCAGGAAATCAAGGCCAAGCCACACCAGTATGCTAGCTATATATTTAAGCCATTATGACTGGGTACGACGGCATTCGAATCGTAGAGTCTTTTAGGCAACCAGTAGATTGTATTCCAAAAGGAAAGGAGCGATGTAGTTGTTTACACAAATTTCATATCCCAGAAGCCCTCTTCTCAAATGTCAGTCAGGGCGCTTCCTCGCTTGTAATTTTAGGATATTTTATTCATTCTCTCTAGACTGGTGGCTTGAAAATAGTCCCACCACCGTTTTCTCACATATTCTAATGAAATCTCTAATCGTTGAAATCCCGTTTTGTCATATTAGATGTTTTATAATCTAAGCAGTTGAAACTTGAAACCATTCAAGACTGTATAGCAGGATTTTGTAATGGTCCGTTTAGCCTAATCTGTTGCCATATTTTTAAAGTTGAGGATGTCCATTCATTTAGGCGTTACTAGCTAGCGTGTAGATCCGGAAATTTTCCTCAGGTAAATGTCAAAGTACATTTCTTATTTGGCAGTAGGTAGTATTTGAGACATATATTTTGAGGAAAGAAAATAATTTATTTTTACGATTCAATAATGAAAATATGTAAATCACAACACTTGACGAAACATAAGTCAATAAATTATAATTTATTGACTTATGTTTCTTATTTTCTACTCAGATCATCCATAAAATTAATAATATAAATTTTATGGATGATCTGAGTAGAAAACACGAAACAAAGGGCTGACGTAATAACTATGCCTATTAATGAAAGCCTTTCGGAAAAGAAAAATTTTTCTCATGCAGACAAGATTTCTAATCATTTGAGCCCTCCTTATTAGTAAACGCAAAGTATAGTCCTTGTGTTAACTAATTAAACACGATGCCATGATGACGTATGAGAAATGGGGAGTATAGCTCCAGCAGTCTACAACTCGGCACTAGTTGGAGGTGAGTGTTCAGCTTCACGTTCCGGCCACTTTACTTCCGAGGAAAGAGCCCACAGCACCCATTGGATAGGAGGCTGTTTAGAACCCAGAGCCTGTCTGAACGCTTTGAAGTGGAGAAAAATAATTTGTCTCTGCCCGGAATTGAACCCCAGCCTTCCAGTCTGTAACCTTTTCCATACCGGCTTTGCTATTCCGGCTCGTTTTTCCTGTTACTAACATAAGAATTAAATTTCCTGGCATTAACGATTTAATTTCAAGTTATTTCTGTGACCAAATCATGATGCGATGCCATCAGAAAGTTGAGAGCTCAGTTCTTTATGAAGTTCACGAAAATTGTTCATTATAATGCGAATGTGCAAGCTGTTGTACCGTGACATGTCAATGTGATAGATTCTGAGAGAACAGAGATACGCAGGCGGCTAATAATCTTAGGCATTATTAGGTTTGGTGTATTTATTGGGGGTCCAGTGAGAGTGAGATGTGATACCACAGTTTCAGTTATCCGTGCCTTTAAGCGCAGCCTCCACATATCAGCAGTGATCTCTTGTAATTTAAGATTATTATATAAATATTTTTTTTTTCCTTGGCACTACAGCCCCAGTGGGCCTAGGCCTACCTCCATGAACTCCGTTCACTTCGGTTTTTCTAGATCTTACACATACGGTAGGACTCCTTGGGCGAGTGATCAGCTCGTCTCAAGGCCTCTACCTGTAGTCAAACACAGAAAAACGCACACAAACATCCATGCCCTGAGTGGGATTCGAACCCACGATTCCGGCTTCCGAACGAGCGAAGACAGTGCATGCCTCAGACCGCTCGGCTACCGTGACCGGCAAGATTATTATATATTTTCATTAATTTTCATGCCCTATGCTCGAATTGGCTAGAAAAATACATATTCTAGAACTGGCATTAGGTGCACATAAATGACTAGCTTCATGTTTCGCTGACTTTGTCTTCAGAGGAAGTGCTCGGTACCCGCTCATAAGGTGCTCCTGTGCCTCAGAACTCTTCGCTAAGGAAACAGAATGCTGACTAGTAAAGACAACACCACACGCTGTGGAGGAAACACGCAAACCAGGGGCATAGGCAGTCATAACTGAAAAGTAGACTACGAACGTGAGGGGCGAGCTGCCGAGACAAAACACCATGGACAGACATACATTTATGAAACGGACGACACCCCGTGTGAGGTGAAATAACATGCGCCCAAATAACGTGGGTATAATAGAAACTTTAGAGGATTTTATCTGGTTTCACCTTGAAACGAGAACTACAGCGTGTGATATTAACACTAACTAAGACAGTGAAGCAGTTTTAACAAAATTTAATAAAATAATTGTAACATATCAAGACACCTGAAGATGGCCGTTTGGGGCCTAAACATGTAGTGTCAAACTATAATGTTAAAGTAAAATTAAAATTAAGTAGTGAATAAACAAGTGTTGCAATATTGACGGACGATAAATACATGGACGTTAAGTTAAACAGAATACAATCTTGATTGATTATCACTTTACTGGCCTGTGAAGTTACAATTTACTGAATTACTAATAATTAAAATATATATTATGCTCCAAGTTCATTATATAGGACCTTAACTTAAAGCAGTACCTGCTGTTCCCACATTATTTCAAGCAAATAATTATGCATGACACAATATTTGTGACTTTCCTGCAAATTTTGAATTCTTATGTCATTGCAGATATTTCAAATCGTGTTTGAAAATAAATGTAAACTTCTGTATGTGATTTGAAGTTCTCACAGCCATGGTTATGAAGAATCGTGTGTTCTAGGATATAAATCAGTGTAGTTCATTGAAATTCAACCGACATTTCGGATGAATATGTTGCCTCCTTCATCAGGGTCTAAGAATAAGCAAAGAAAGAAACCAGTATGAAACAGATCTGCCTGTCTTATTCTTTGATCCTGAAGAAGAGGACGACGTGAACCTCCGAAATATCCGTTGACGTGCAACGGACTACACGGCATCACACCTGAGAAGTGCGGGCTCTACGATATGGACTTATTGTGTCTCCTTATACGTGGTAGAGGCATTAAGTTCGTGGAATGTGGTTTTTTTTTCCTTGGCACTACAGCCCCTGTGGGCCTAGGCTTACCTCCATGAACTTCTCCGTTCACTTCGGTTTTTCTAGATCTTGGACATACGGTAGGACTCCTTGGGTGGGTGATCAGCTCGTCGCAAGGCCTCTACCTGTACACAAACACAGAGAAACGCACACACACAAACTAAACATCCGCAATTCCCGTACGACGCTTTGCGGCCATTCCACGAACTTATTGACTGTGGTAGTGTTTAGGCGGGTGGACTAGAAATAAGCGATGAGAAAATTGATTATATGCCAATATCTCGCCGGAGAAGTGTAGGAAAATTTTACCTACTACAAGGACAGCTAAAAGAATGTTCTGAAATCTATGAGGTAGTGAATTATTCAACTGCGCATTCAGTAGCTAGCCCATACAGCGTTGTATTGTAGGATGGCTGAATGATGAATTTGAAGGGATTTGGAAGGAAGCGATCCTGGCCTAGTCGAGATACTCCGGCCGCATCTGCCTGGAGGCTCTACTTCACACCTGCTTTCACCCTAGTTTCCTGCTCGGCTTATTCTTTGAACCTGAATATGGAGGCGATTTTTTCCTCCGAAACGTCTGTTGACTTTAAGTTACCTACATGGCGTTATATCCCAGAAGATAATAGTCTTCATAGCCACCGTTGAGAGAACCTCAGATTGTACACGAAAAATCTTCACTGAACTTATGACAGAGCTCCAGTACTGGGTAATGTTACTAAGAAATGGGAATTGTCTTCAGGATCGAAATAAGAGGAAGGTTTCTTTCGTGAGATCCTCGCAACGATCCAGGTCGGTATACTCCATTCTCCAGTGCCTGTCTCAACATTCAGAATAAGCTGAACTGTATTTGTGAAGTGTTGTCTCGTCTGATGTGAAACACAGCCTTTCTTTCTAAATAAGAACGAAAATTCAGGATGTCTGAGAACAAAGCATTGGACTTACGTAAGAGGAAGTTGCAAGGGAGCGGAGAAATTTGTATAAAGTGAACTTCATAATTTGTGCTCTTTGGTTATTATATTTGGAGTAATTAAATTAAGAGCCGTAAGTTTGCCGGAAAGCGCATGAGAAGAACTGGGAAAGTCAATTTAAATTCCGTAGTTCAAAGGAAAGATCATTTAGGGACGGAGATCCAGAGGTGAGGGAGCTCGTATTGAGCCCTGCGTCAGAGAGGGAAGGTGTGAGAATATGGCAGGACTGAACTTCGTTCCGGTCGGGTCAAATTGTTTTTTTTTTTCTTGAAAATGTGGCTAACCTCCATGTCCCTTAAAATTAGAGGATTTCTTGTCCAGCTGAAAAACTATCAGCTGCCATTGGAAGAGTATTTTCATCTCCTGCACTATAGATATAGTTACCGTTATCCTTGTAATAGGCCTTTGAGGCCCATAGGGCTGTGAGAGGTCGAGGCTCCTACATTTTCTGGAAGGTCGGTTCACAGATGGCGGTGAGTTTGTCAGCCATACGCGCCGGTCACCTTTTACACCCCAGGAAGATTCCTGGTACTCATATCTGCTGAGTCGACTCCAAGGCCATAATGCAGCTGGAAGGAGTAGGTCAACTGAAAAATAAATTACATCATCGGTAATCGAACCCACAACCTTGAAGCTTGTGCCTCAACCAACTACGCTACAGCGTGTCCCCACTCCGGCAAAAAGAGTATGCCCAATTAAAGGTTAGGAGATGTGTGTGTGTGTCGTGGTTAGTTGATCACCTGACCACAGCTGTATTCTTCGTTAACCCGTTTCGCTAGAAGGAAAACTTACTTCTATCTACATTATACTGTCCTCGCAATTTTGGGGAAAACTTTTCTTTACCTCATGTTCTGGCCGAAAGCAAAAGTTTGATTCCATTTTATTGCAAGACACTCTAATAGACCTCCACTCCCCTCCCCCACAATCATTTCCGGCTACAAGAAAACCTTACAAAACACTGAAACAGCAGAGCAGTATGCTCCTTCTGCACTACACCTTACACACCTGAAGACGGCCAGTTAGGTCGCAATATATAATGCTATATGATAAAGAAACGCAGACGTGTGAACATTGATATATCAATGAAGTTGCATAATGAGAGCAAGGAGTTGGAACATAGTTCAACTGTTAGCATATTGCCGCGTGTTGCCTATATAACGCGACAAGTAAGTTCACACGGGTCTCGGATTTGGCTAAGACGTTTATTGGACAATCACTTTTACATTCGCAAGTACAGCTATTCACAACTTCCACTATCACAATTTTTTTTATTGTTAGTGGGGTGGGACTAAGTCCCTTGTTCTGCGGCCGCTTCTGGCTTATTGTACCAGCCCCAGATGATAGGTGAGGGTGATTGTGGGGCAATTGGTGGTAGGAAGATTGGCAGGGGAAACCGAAGTACTCGGAGAAAATCTGTCTTAGCGCCACTTTGTCCACCACAAATCCCACTTGACCAGACCCGGGATGGAACTCGGGCCGCCTTGGTAGGAAGCCAGCGACTAACCGCTTGAGCAATGGCGTGGCCAATATCGCAGTTACTTGAACCGCTGATCTTGGTGAAGTGTAGTTACTATAGGATTCTGACGATGGTGTATAACACATTGATATATTGGGTTTTTGGACTTTATCCATCGTCCTGGTTTTTAAGATAACAAATAGAAACACGACGTTTCGGAAACTGGATCTGTTTCCATCCTCAGGTGAAGGAAACTGGATCTGGACCAACTGAATAAGGTTTTCCTTCACCTGAGGACGGAAACAGATCCAGTTTCCGAAACGTCGTGTTTTTATTTGTTATCTTAAAAACCAGGACGATGGATAAAGCCCAAAAACCCAATATATCAATTGGTGAAGTGTCTTCTGTCCTTTGTCTGATGCGAACTTGCCTCTGCTCTAGTCGGAGTTACGCTGAAAACTGACTGGTCTCGTCGAAGCTGGACTTTTGTAAGGTGCACTCGGGCTGAATAGAATGCACCATGTTAAAGGGTTCGGTTTTATCAGCTGGTAGTAACGTTTGCATTGATATTCTTCCATTTCTGGGGAAACGCATTTATTGATTTGGCTATTCCTATGCAACGGTCTGCTGGCATTGCGTTTCCGCTGAAGTATAAATTCTTATCGCAGCCGTTGCCTATCAATGGACATCTTACCGCCCGGCTTTTTGGAGGCACGCCACAATATTTATTTGTCCTGAAAACTTCAAATCCTTCATGAAATAGTACTAAATTATTATCTATATTATAATCATTAAGGGCACAATTCAGAAGACGGAAAATATTTCGTAATTTTGATTCTGAACTAACACATGGAAACATTCATGATTTGATAAACGTTAATTATAAATTAATTATATCTATTTGGAATGCATGACCAGTATTAATTCCTTCTATGGGTAATAAGAATGTCACGGTTAGTTTTGAGCCAATTTAACATCATCTAATAAGAGGCTTCCATCTCCCATATACTTTCTGCAACTGGCAATTTCCCATATATGTAATATAGCTTCTTATTTCTTGAAGCTCTCTATAAGCACCCAACTGAACCATCTTAAATTACTCACTACATAGGCTGTATAATTAATCTTGTTAGTCCTAAGTATATTTATGATAATAAATATTCTTTGACATCAAAATATACGACATTGAAATGTGCAGGTTTTGTTTGTTGTTGCAGATTCTGCCATATGCTTCCTGCAGGAGGAGGCACGTGTCTTCAACCGGCAGCATCAGCGAGTTATGTCACTAGTGTAGCCGCGGGAATGTGTATAAAGCAAGAGAAACTCTAAAAGTATCGAAATATATAGATCACTGTGTGAACTCACACCGAGGCAGCGTTCACTTGCACTCCACTGATTCGTTACACAAAGTGGCTCATTTGTATCTATAGCGATATCTGTAGTCACAGCTCAGAGAAACTGTGAAACGGTTAGTAAAATGATCTGCTGTCGAATTTCTTAATTGAAATTACATTTGTTAATACGGGTTGATTTATCCATAAATAAATAAATATTGTATGGGACTACCGAAACTATCTGTTTTCCACCAAGATTTTCCTTAAACTGTCGCCGCTGAAAATAAACAATTATTGAAAGTTGTGACGTCACACACATTAACCCGGGTGAGGCTTAGAAGTCGGTTTTTCTGTACTTATTCGTAATTAGCTTTCCTCTGCCGTTTTACAAACTGTTCGTGTAGTTATCGACACTAAGATGTATTCGTGCCGGTCACGGTAGCCGAGCGGTCTAAAGCATGTGCTGTCTTCGCTCGCTCGGAAGCCTGGATCGTGGGTTCGAATCCCACTCAGGGCATGGATGTTTGTGTGCGTTGTTATGTGTTTATGTACAGGTAGAGGCCTTGCGACGAGCTGATCACCCGCTCAAGGAGTCCTACCGTATGTCTAAGATCTAATAAAACCAAAGTAAAACGGAGAGTTTCATGGAGGTAGGCCTAGGCCCAAATGAGGGCTGTAGCAACAATGGAAAAAAAGATGTATTCGTACTAATAATTGGCCTTGAAGGGATTCAACAGTAAGTAAAAAAATATGTAGTTCCGTATTATAATTTACATACAAGAATGGATTTATTTTAATTGTGTGTTTTCGTAGCACGTACTAAGAATAAAATATGCGAGTGATAATTAAAATCTGGAATATCATTGGAGTGCAGGTATCATGTTGCCTTGGTGTGAAGCACTGGTTTGTACAGAACTTTCACCAGATCCCTCGTGTGCGTATGGGTGTGAGTGTGAAAGTGCAACTTGAAGCATTCGTCAACTGCTGAAGGCGTCTTCTTCACAGCAAAACACTACTGACTGGAATTGACCCAACGATCTCGTTGTAGCCAGTCATAATGTACTATAGTGTATCTAAGATAAACTTTCTTTGGGGAGGGAGGGGGGACAACATTTGTCTTCTGAAGTTTCATATTTCATTCAGTATTCTGAAAACAAATACATTGTTAAAATTATGCTATTTATATTTGATTGTTTTGGATCTGATTATGTGTTTATTAGTCTCGATTTTAAGAACCGTGCAACAAGAAGCTCCAAATAAAATTGAAATTTATTCATGCTTTTTTTTTAATTAGCACTTGCTGGTGGATATGAAAATTGTATAGGTGGCCTGAATTTTAAAATTAATTGAGATTGTCACCAGTATCAGTCAAAAACCTATTGTTTGTGTTTTTATAAAACTGTTTGTCGTTTATTATTAAAGGATATTCTCAACATTTTCGCAAGGGGAACCACTGTACCGAACCGAACAATATTATGTGTGACCAAACTATATTATTTGAGTTTCAAATTACATAGATTCCTCAGCGTTCTCCTTAAACGTTGCACGATTCAAACGCTTATTTAAGAAATCTGCAAAATTTATATCTTGTCTTCTTCCACTGAATTGCATAGACTCTCTAAACACAGGGTTAAATGCTGGATTCAATATTTAAAAAGATGGTACTAAGGACAATATCAAACAAGTGTCATTATTCTTATAAAAATACAGAATTGAACATTTCTATGAAAGCACCTTCAAAGTAGTCTGTTCTTCCCTAGGGCTAATAAATAAAAATGCCTTTATTTAAGAAATATATAAAATTGTAAAAAATTATGAAAATTGTTGTTTAATGGATTGACATACGTGTATGTGTTACGAAACGCAACGTTTAGTTAGCATCTGTAGGTTAATAATTTGATAAATTAGCCACCAGGCACTTGTCTCTATATACTTGAAACATGCGGTCTCTTTTATACTTCAACATTCTATCAGATGTAATATATTTGAAATAAATTCTCCAGTAGTAAATATAGACATGCAATTATCAGACTAAAAAGAAACTCTAAGCGTCTAAGAATATAAGCAGACTTTGAATCATGCATCTCTGTAAGGAAAACACTGGGAAATTTTCTTAAAACAAATATTTTTGTGACCTTCTATGTGAGCGAATTCTAATTCTGAGAATCGTTTATCCCTCTATTAAAGTGAATAATTCTTAGAAAAATTATCTAAATTAATTTTATATTTTATACAGTGATAGAAGCTTGTGTGAATGCCAGTTGTAACATTTTTATACAACCATTGTTCAGTTGAAGATTAAGAATCAGGAAGCAGGATCTAAGAACCCACCAGAACAAAGTCTTTAAGTGAACGTCGATTTGTAAATGGAGGCCTGGGTAATCTCACACGGATCGTACAGTTGATAGCGTTGTTATTTCAGATCTCCTTGCATTCGTGTAGAAGCAATTTATTATAATGTGAAAAGCACAATTTCTGTTCAGTTCCCAAGAAACTTAAACAGTAAAATGTAAGAAAAGTCGCACAAAATAAGAGAAGCGTGGAACTTAATACCACAGCAAACGATAATGACCTCGGTGCAACTTCACAGTACACTTAACTCAAATTCTTTAATTCGTATATGACTTAACAACGCTAATTCAACTACAGTTGCTATATGGAGTGAGATTCAGTTATAAGGACAATTGAAATGATAAATCAATAACGCTCTATGAGGATATTATCATTTTATATTTCAAAACCTTACACCTCCATTTGTATGGAGAGAATAACAGAAACTTTAGAACAGCCGGAAGTACAGAAAAGCCAGTATATGTAAAAGGAATCTCATCCTTGTATTTATTTATGCACGATGTCATGAAGACACATGGGGAATGGAGGTATACCTCCACATATTCTTAACCTTAACACTAGACGGGAGGTTAGTGACCAGCTTCACTGCTCGAAATCTTTAACCGCAAAGAAAGATTGACATGAAGTTGGATGGGGCCCAGAGCCAGGACGGATGCTGCGAAACACTGAAAAGTTTAACTCCCTCTAAACCCTTCTAAAACCTCACCAATAAACCAAACTGCTTGGTGAGAAATATATTGATGTGACTCATTCTCATGTTGTGTAAACGTAATTAACATTATGCTGCCATTGATATGGCTGATTGTTGCATAAGCAGCCAGGTTTCTTGGCGTGAGAAGGATAAGTACAAGGTTTATAAATAACAAAACCAAAGCTTCTGGTTCAGGCTAAACTATGACTTTCAGTTTTATTTATGAAGATAGTCCTTCATATCAGCGTCAAGTACGGTCACGAAAATAACTCAGAATAGTCAGTCGCTGGTCAGAATTTGATACTTCATATATGAGAGCCCAACGCGCTACGGTTGTAACGTTCTTGTCAGAACACCCTAATAAAGACCTAAACCATTTTCGGAAATGTGTATTTATAACTAAAGCAATCGTTTACCTTCTGTTGATGCAGATGAAAAACCACAATTATTATTATTATTATTATTATTATTATTATTATTCTATTTTCAAGAATATTCACACAATTTTAAAATAAGTTGTATGATTGTAAAAAATCGAGTTTAAGTACAACTGCCATAGGCCATAGGCCATATGCGCAACTTCCTCATAGAAAGCCACCCAAGGTCTCCAGACCATTGCACGTGTAATAACAATTTCTTAATATTGCATTTATAGTCCAGTAAGATAAAGGTATCCCTGTAATAGGCCATGGAGGCCCATAGGGTTGTGAGACGTCGAGGCTCCTACATTTTCTAGACAATCGACCCACAGATGGGGATAAGCCTTACGCAACGGCAGCCCTTTACACCCCAGGAAGATACCTGGTACTCATTTCTGTTAGAGGCTGAGTGGACCCGAGGACCAAAGTGCGGCTGGAAGGATTACATCAATTGAAAAAGAAAAACGCGACCTTCCGGCTTGTAGCACAGCGCTTCCAGTTCCATGCAAAAGAAAATGGAACTATAAAGTACGTTCGAATTATTTTCCGCCATATCGTGGAATCCAGAAATTTGAAGTAAGGATAAAAGTGAAGAGAAAAACAATTTATACGTCTTTTATTATCTCCTTATGTTTACCGATTATAAAACTATAAATTAATAAATATTCTCTTTATTATCTCATGAAATGAATAACCTATTTCTGTAGAATCATTCGAGGAGAATACCCAACATTGTTATTATGTAATATATATATATATATACACTTATATCAAAATTATCCGCGATAATAAAACTTCGGATAACTACATATAGAGCAACTGAATTAATTTAGTAGTTTCCAATTTGTGAGAAACTAGGACACAGAGGGAATATAAGTACAGATCTAGAAAACTTGAGGAAATTTCTAGAGAACATGTATTAGGAATTCTGAAATGGCAAATTATTTTCTTTCATAAATATCAGAATTTGGAGCGAAACGAAACCATAACAGAATTAACACTACTAAAACCTGTTCTAAAACATCATTAACAGTTCTTTCACTGCAAGGTAAGAAAAAAAATGACCTGGAGAAATTGGGAAGTAAATATGGATTAATTTTATTTAATGCAAAATTTTGGACGCAGAAATATATGGCATTACATTATGTTAAATGAGTGAAGAAAATTGTTTATCAAACAGAGTTTTCAGTTTTAAAGTAAAAGGAGAAATGAATTTTGAAACCCTAATTAAACATATATTCGCCATTATGGTTCTTAATGGTAACTGTACGTTACCACCGATACTGAAGCTTATCTTCATGGGTGCATATCGGTCGTGCACATACCTGCCTCTCCTCAGATGTGCAGGAATCTCGTACACCAGGTTTCATTAACAAACCCGTTAAACCAGTGCATAAACAAGTTCTGCTCCGACATTCCAGTGACATTAGCGTACGATTTCTAAAATTCAGAGAGTGTACGAACCTACATGAGTTAGAACAATCAGCAGAGTAATCTTATATCATTGCTTAAATGAAGGCCTAATTTGGAGAGATATTCGTTGGCCCGATGTTTCAGCTCTCAATCTCATACTACAAGCACAGCATCGTTTCAGAAATCACTATAGTGCACATTAACACTTGCAATTCTGTTCTGTCTACAGTAGCCTTTGCTTGGTAGCGGCTTCTAATAGTGGAGATTCTTCTGCTTCCTTGCTTACGGTTGAACCACAGATTACGAGACTCACAACTAACTGATTAGTCTGATCTGGTAATTTGCTGCTAGTGTTGGCCAGCACTGACTTGTCGGTCGGGTAAATTTCCGCTTGTTTTTCCCAGCATAGTTGTTCTCAGTTCTGTCGGAACTAATGACCAAATTTTTCTTTTTGCAAGACCATTTATATGTTTGTAAATAGGGCCACCTCTTAAAGGAGAGAAGGGGTTGGTGCCACATTCATTACAGTGTACTAATTTGCTGCTGTTTGTTGACTGACTGTGGGATACGTTGCCACCTACCCTTGCCAGCTCTGTCTTTCCTCTTTTCGGCTCCGAGGGATCCAT